AGCAATGTCGTTGTCATGTTGTTTTGTCTCCGCCGGAAAGTGTTTGCCGAGCCTTTCACCAGCAATTAACGCCTCATCTGACTTCGATATTCTGGCTTTCGGGCGTCATTACACAATATTAAACAAACGACGATTTAAAAATATAACGTCATGTGTGGGGGTGACTTATAAGACGGGGATTTAGATTGGGGGAATGGATTTATTGCGCCTTATACTTTGAAAACTCGGGATCGCAGGTGATAAATCATTATTTGTGATGTACATATTTTGCAGTTCATCGTTACACATGCACTGGGATTCTCATACTTTACTAGTCGTATCCTGGCAACGGACTTATTACAGTCTCACTCTAAATTCAAATCGCACATGTAGAAATCTTGCCGTCTCTGTAGTCTAGTGGTCAGAGTTCCTGTCTACAGATCCAGAGGTCCGCGTTCGATTCCCGGCGCTACCAGTTTTCTTTTTCTGAGAAGTAGTGGATCTGGAATGGGGTCCACTCAGCCTCGTGATGATAACTGAGGAGATATTTCAAGGAAATAGCGGCTCCGGTATAGAAAACCGAAATTAACGGCCTTGGGGATTCGTTGCGTTGACCACGCTACACCTTTTATCCGCAAAGGTGGATGTAATTTCGCCGACAAGTGGCGGTCGTTCGGTCGGTATAGTTCGCTTGCTGAATAAAATCACGGAGTTTATTTAGTTCTTTTAGTTTTAGATGTTTTGTCACCGTTTATTTTTTTCTTGCCATTATTCTGCAACTGCGAATTCCGAAGACTCGTGTCAATTAAATTTCTCTGCTCCCAAGCTCATGTCCGGGCAGCCCGGTATGTCGACACTCTACTCTTCACTTCTCTACTTTGTTGTCTACTTTGTCGCGTCTTCTCACTGCGTCAATTTGTAACCCCTCGGCACGGGCCACACGGAAAACACAGCGTCTCTTGTTAAGAAGGGATATTTACTGGTCCATTTTCTAGAAACCGACGTCCTTCTTTACGCTTGACGGGAATGTGTNGTTTTTCCAGTGGTCTCCTTCCTTCTGGCTTTCCCACCAGTATCCTATATGCATTCCTCTTCTCCCCATTCGTGCTACATACCCTGCTCACCCCATCCTCCTTTGAGAAAAGTACAAGTTATGAAGCTCCTCATTATCCAGTTTTCTACAACTTCCTGTCACTTCATCCCTCTTCGGTCCAAATATTCTCCTCAACACCCTGTCCTCATATCCCCTTAGTCTATGTTCCTCCCTTAATGTCAGAGACCAAGTTTCACACCGATACAGAACCACAGGCAAAATATTCTGTATTTAAAGAAGACAAAGAAGACCCTATTGTATTAACATTTGTTTTTATTATGTTTTTACAGACACATTCAACTCTTATATCTGGTCATCATCAGGTGTACAGTGCTCCAGTATGAGCTGATGAATTGAAATNACCACAGGCAAAATATTCTGTATTTAAAGAAGACAAAGAAGACCCTATTGTATTAACATTTGTTTTTATTATGTTTTTACATAATGGTCATCATCAGGTGTACAGTGCTCCAGTATGAGCTGATGAATTGAAATTAATTATCATCTAATACTTCAAATAAGGGTCCTTACTGTGACTTGAAATTATTTAAATTTAAAAATGCATGTATTAATTTTTGGTTAACATTTTTAAGACAGAAAATGCTTAGATAATAAAATTTAAAATTAAAGATATAAAGATTAAAATTGAAACTAAAGATTAAGACATGAAAGTTAGAATTCTGTTTTTGTGGTACGACTGCAAACGCTATGTGTTGGCCTCGTTTTTATGCCGATAGAAGCGACTATAGCGTAAGGTCCCCGCGGATCGTAATCTTCTTACATGGGATAGGTCATGCAGTCATGACCTTAGTAATGTGTTACGGAGTTTATGCTCATTATTCAGTATGTGATGTAAATTAGGTTGTTCTTATGGATGGGGTGTACGGGCTGCTCCCTGCGTTATTCGCTATGTTGTATGGTCCTAGAGTTGCTGGATCATTAATAAGAATAACAACCTACTATGGCGTGTAATCTTCATTCATGCAAGACTCTATTTTTAATCGCAGTTGTTGACATTGGACCCTGCGCTCTATATCAGAGGTTCCCATTTTTTGTCAGACGGCGGCCCGGAAATTATTTTTTTTCTACACGATGAGGACACGGTATAATTGAAGCCAGGACCAAGTACAGGGCCGAGGCCCGGTGGTTGAGATACACTGCTCTATATGGCGCGTGACACTGAATGTGAAATCAGAAGGAATTTGATTCTATACAGAAGGAAATCATTCAATCACCCTCTCCCCACCCACTTCGAAATAGATAAACATATACCACGCTACTAGTTCCTTTAGTGATATGCTGGAAAGTACATAGAAACACATTGTTTAGGATGAAACAAAATATTCTATGAAGCCAGACAAATGTACTCGTGAATTATTCTCACTGACCTAAGAGAGGAGGTATTCGTATGTGTTCAGTTTGCTGTTAACTCTGTTTTAATTATAGGCGAATGAAGATGATACTTGTAACTCCAACACGTATATTGATATGTTAAAAAGAGATACATATTGTGACATGTAGCCCCTTTGCTAGGGAACGCCACGGTAAAGGAGCTCGCAATAAATACGCAACCAATAATAGGGGAGCCCAATTTTAAGCAACACCTGCGATACACGCAAGCAACAATGGAACCGATGTGGCAAGAGGGTTTTTCTATATGGTTCTCATATATCTAATGCTAGGCAGTGGATCTGTTTTCTGGGCTGTGGTCCGATCTGAGGTTATATAACGAGAAGACAATAATTGATAGATCAGTTGTTCAACAAAAAAATGTCTACGGCTGCGGTGTTCTTCGACATCGAAAAAACCTTTGATACTATGAGGAACTCTGTATTTCTGTGTAACTTGAAAGGTTTGGAATTTTCGACTAACTAAATCAAGCTTATTGGATCTTTTCTTTCACAACGAGAAATCGGTGTTTCGGTGGAAGTCGAAATATCTACGCTAAGGGAAATGCAATCAAGGGTGTCTGAAGAATCGGTCCTGTCCCCTACTCTTTACATTATGAACATAATGATGCCTGTCAAATACATGGCAATGCGTCTTTATTTTAAAGTGCCATCGATTCATGTGGGTTAGAGAAATGTAGCTCTTTATTTTCAGAACCTTAAAAACATACGGCTATACCACAAGGACTAAATTAAGAGATTCTTAAAGTTACGCAATTGGTATACATACTAACCACTTACATGAGAATAATTATTTATCTGCGGCAACTTAAATTTCAAATAAACAAACAGTACACAAATATTCCTTAAGTTATTTTATTTGTTCTGTTCAAAACCATTGAATATTGAGGTGACGTCACGTGCACTTGGGAGTAGTTGTCAGTGACAAAGTGACAACGAAGTAAAGGAAGTGTCCGAGGCGAACTATCAGGTATTACTAGGTAACTTACCGTGAAAACGAGAAAAGTCATAGAGCACCTTAGTTAAGATTTCAAGTCTCCGGGCCAGGATATGTGAGCGAGTTATAGATTTAAGCTCTTAGCACTAACTAATATATCTCGACCTTTCTGGTTATGAATGCCGAAATCTCGTATAAACAAACACGAGTAAAAATTGAAGACATTCAAGATTTTATAAGGCAGACTTGTGAGTATGGAAGGAATTGGTCAGAAACACACAGACCGAGAAAAAACAAGTTTAATATAAATCACAAACTGAGATACAAACCATAAGGCCGCAGATACGATGCATACTGGATACATGAGGAACTTGTAGGAATCAGTTGCATATAAATGCTTTAGGTTCAGGGTACTAAATGTAATTACGCTGAATTAATGTGGTAGCTATAATTATATCCACGTACTTTTAGATACAAGTTTATTGAAAGAATACGGAAGTGTTAATCTAGTGCTTCCTACAATAGAAACAAATTACGTGAACCAAGAAACTAAATAGAAGTAACAGGGAGAACACAATCTTGCAGTAACTGTGTGCAACAGCTGGAGTTATAAGCAAATTGACTGGCTGACTAATTCATGAATATACAAGGTGTGTCTCAAAAGTCATGAAATACTATATATATATATATTTTTTTTTTCAAATTTATTGATGATATCGGTACAAAGTGTTAATATTCTTCAAAGTACTGTCCATGAGCATCTAAACATTTTTTCCACAGACTCTA